TGTTTTTCACAATTAAAATTTATAGCCCCGTTTATATTGAACGTAGGCATAGCTGTACTAGCTTATTCTTATTCTTGGGATTGTCGTAAAAATAATTTAAATTATTATCCTTATTTTGTGTAATGTAAAAATTATATTTACTAATTATATAAAAGTTATCAATAATAAAATTATTTTATTCATAAATTAATAAATTATTAACTGTAATTTTTAAATTTGTATATTATATTTTGCACGTTTCTAATATTTTTAATTATATAAATTAAACAAGGTCTCTGTAAAGATTTAATTAAGAACACTAATTTAATTATAGCATTTCAAAGCACATAAATAAATCAAATAGATTTGAGAATACATGATAAATTCTTTGATAAAAATAGATAAACATTGAATGAAATAAATAAATAAAAACAAAACCCATAACTGTCTCAAAGATCTAACAGACTGTCATTCTTACCAATATTTAGGAAACTATGCCAATGTTAAGTAATTTATGTATTATAATGAAATTAGTGTTAAACTTAATGTTAGTTTACATAAAGTTTTAGTGCAACAGCAGAATTCAGTGCTATTTATAGATGTATGCAAACAATTTTAGTTAAACATTAGTTATGATACAAGCGTTCAGTAATATTCTTAAGTTCGTCAATAGTTTTGTATTCAATTTTATTTTAAAATAGAAATATCAATTTTTTATCAAGTTTACATACTAACTTATTATTTGTCAGACATACTCTGTCGTAAATATAAAATTATGTAAACATTTTATTTGTTAAAATTATAAGTATCATAATTATTACTTTGAGATATCAGCATGGCAAACTACCATAATATACCAGAACGTAGTAGCTATTTTGAATGCAAAAAGTGGACTTTATTTGCTATGAGTATAATTACTTTGGTGCTAATGGTCATAGTAATAATAGTTGTAGTAATTATGATGGCAGCAATGGTGGCCATTGCCAAAGGTAACCAAGGAACTTCATCGGGAACACAATCAAAACCCAATTGTGTGTACGACCCTGCTACTGGCTCATATTTAGGGTCCAATTGTGCACCATCTAAAAAGGCATCAACTTTTCCAATTTGGGTAATTTTTGTTAAATTATTTACTTATATATTGAGTTGTTAGTTGCATTAATTTAAATAATTTTCTTAGAAATAATTTGTAATATTACAATTTTTAAAAATCATTACAGGGAATTGTTGTAATAGCCATATTATTTGGCACAATAATATTGGCAATTCAATTAATATTCATATACGGAATCTACAAGGAGCATTTCTGTCTGAACATGACCAATGCAGTACTATGGACCCTGGCCACATTAGGTTCACTGGCTTCCAGTTTTGTGAATACAAAATTCATTGCATCATTTATATTTAATTTGGCTTTTACTGTGCTGGCTTATTCATTTGCGTGGGATTGTCGCAAACAAAATTTGAGCCAATATCCATAATTCATAATATACCAATTCATAAGATTATAAATTTTAAATTTAATCCCATCATGCAAATGGGTTTAAAATATTCGGAGTATTCAATTTGTATTTGAATGCATACTATTTAAGAATAATATCAATTATAAAATTAACATGCTTTTAATTATAAATGTTGTTTTTAAATATTTACTTTAAACTTATTGTATTTATAAATATATTACTCAAATACAATAAGTATACAATAAGTATACTCAAATACTAAATTACTTATTAAATATATTAGTCAATTGTAATAAATAAAATTTTATTTGTGTTACCCACTTGATATTCATTATTTATTTTAATAACAGTTTGTTTATAATACATAAGTTAGTATTTATATTATATTTATTACTGAATCCTATACCTTCGCTGCACATAATATATTATCATAATATACTTTATCTTATATTATACAATACAAATTTTTATCCCTTAACGTTAATACTGTATTTGAAAATTTAATACTATAATATTATATTTTAACTGTCATTAGATGAAGTCAGGGCTTCTTAAAAATACCAGGGTAACCTGGCGAATCATTTTTATATTTTATTATTAATATAATACTAACTCAAAATATTAATTACTATACCGTATACTAGTCATGTTCAAAATAAGTGACAAACTAGTGTTGGGTCAAAAATAGTTGCAAGTCGTAACCCACGACTTAATAAAACCGGGGTTAATCATTTGAAAATATTGTAATATTATTTATGAATTGATAATAAAATAGTCATTCATTTATTTATTAATCTTCTGATTCATAACACAAGTGTTGATAAAATGGATAACAATTTACATTTCAATTAAAAGTTATTTGTTTGAATTTAATGCAGTTAATAATGCTATACTTAACTCTCGATATAATAAACTAGATTTATTTTGGGAAATAGTTTATTATATCGAGCGGCTTATTATAACAAATTTCAATACAAAAATTACATTTTTTCTTAAAATATATAGAAATCAATGGTTTTATACAATTTACTAAAAGATTCAGTAATATATGAATATTTTAGATGATAAAATACATTCTTTGTTAGTTTTTCTAGATTTCATCAACGTTTGTTTCATTACATGTAACATTTCTGTTTTTGCAATATTTTACAGTAAAGTAGAGATCCAATGATAACTAAATTTTGCACTAACACAACTTAGGTATGAACTTAATTTAAAAATTTTGTACTGAATAAACTTAGTTATGTAATGGATAAACTTATTTATAAAATATATTAACTTAATTTTTCAAAAAATTAACTCAATTGTGCAATATATGAATCACAGTATGCAAGACCCGACTAAGTCCCATATTATGCAAATCTGTATAATTATTTACTTAAAGGTTTAACATTAGTTTTATATCAGAAAATTAGATTAATTNGTGCAATATATGAATCACAGTATGCAAGACCCGACTAAGTCCCATATTATGCAAATCTGTATAATTATTTACTTAAAGGTTTAACATTAGTTTTATATCAGAAAATTAGATTAATTATAACAATAAATGATATTTATAATTTAATAAATATTTTTAATTATCAATTATATTATATATTTAAATAAAACAACTATTTTATTCATAATTGAATACTTTATTATACATTTACTGTAAGACTTTGATTACAGTCTGAAATAAGTGAGACTTAGTCGACTATAGCAGACTGGCGTTCATATTAACTTACTTATGAATTTAGTTAACAATCTAGTTAATTCAAGTCATAATTATGTTAATTTAGTTCTAGTAGTTAATTTACGTAGAGAATTAACAAATAAATAAACATTTAATAATAAAGGGAACATTGGGAATATTCCGTAATTATCCAACTCATTGCATAACTATCGAGCCCTATTTTGAAGTTCATACCATTGGATTTTTACTATATTTTGTAAAAATTTATTTATTATATCAAATGGATTTCCCATTGATTTCAATGCATTTGTATTCAGATAGTTGTCTATTATAAGCAGCAATTTATTATATCAAAGTTTATTATAACAAAACTTATTTTAATATTATGTCTATTGCTAGTGATCAATGGTTTTCAGAAATTGTTTATTATAACGAGAGATTTATTATATCGAAGGTTAAGTGTAACTGACCAGTATATAACACTGTAGTTTATAAGTTGCGGGCTGGGAGTAGGCATCCTATATATAAAAGTGGACCTCTAGTTTGTGACTTATTGTGCACATCTGTACCGTATACAATTTTAATACTTTGTTGATTAGAATATTTTACAAAGTAATTATGAATAAAAACCCAAATATTATTCATACAATATAACCCATACTACAGTCATCTGATCTTGAAAATAATCATTATTTAAATTGTACCGTATATGATTAATGTTATTTTTATTAAGTTTAATTGTGTTAATAGCTATAAATATATTAATTTTAATATTCTACATAAATTAAACTATTATAAAATGGTCAAAATATTTAATCAAGCACATTGAACCATTAGAAGGTACAGAAATAAATCTAAAATATGTATTAATTATTTTTAGTTTAATGTTTGAATATTTAAATCCATGAATTACTGAAAATAAATTTTTAAATAATTATAAAATAATTTCTATTCGATGTTTATATTATACAAAAATAATATTTATTTATTCACATGATGAACAGAATATTACATTAAGATATTGTAAAACTCATTTACGTCATATTTAAACAAAATTGATTAATTTATATAATTTTATTTATTATTTAACCAGGTTTTACTGATATTTTATTGTAAGGTTTTCTTGTATTAAAACTTACATTGTAAATTTCTACCACAAATATTTCAATGAGTACTACAGTAGTAATTTCAGTATTCAAGTTACTTATGGAAAGTTACTAATATCTGACTGATAAGTTTAACTACCATTTTATAAATGTATTAATTGCATTGTATCTCAAAAATAACAGAAACTTTAAAATAATTACAAAATTAAATAGAAATAAACAAAATAACAAAATATATCAAGATTTTTTTGTATAAATATATTTTGGTAGTATTCATAAAATTTATTATATTTTAAATGCAAATACCGTAGTCTCTCAAAACAAATTTAAAATTATTTATAATTTTTATTATATAAAATAACTAGTTTGCTAATTTAAAATGAATGGCATTAATAATAATCAACGGAGCAGTCATTTTGCATGTAAAAAGTGGACTTTATTTACCCTGAGTGTGGTCTACATGATAACCACTGTAATAGCCGTCGTATTCTTTTGCATAGCCCTTTCAGCAGTTGATAAGCTGAGCTCTGAAATGATCAAGGGTATGTCATCATCATCAGGGTCTTCCAGTTGGGATCAGTCGTCAGAATCCGGATCATCAAACAGTCCATTGATTCGTGAAACGGACTCAACCCCTAATCCTAATTCGTGGTCATGGACTCAGACAAACTCTGAAGACCACGTTAACACATCGGTATGTGCAGTTGTCATTGTAATGTTTATTATATTTAAATTATTATTAAAAATTTAAAATAACTATAGATTTGTAATTAAAAAATATTATAATTTATTTTATATTAAAAATATTTTATTTTAAAATATTTTTCATACTGTTATACTTATTTTATCATTAATAATTTAACTCTAAAATTATGAGTATAAATGTGTTTCTAAATCATTAATTTTAAATTTTAAAAATTAATCAAAGATTTTAATTTAATCTACAGGTTTTAATTCCAGTAGTAATTGTAGTTGGTTTAATCGTATTGGCCATACAATCTATAGGCGCAATAGGCGCTTATAAAGAGCACTACTGCCTGTCCATGACATACGCAATACTACTGACCATAAGCACCGTCAGCAACCTAGGTGCCTGTTTCAAAAATTCCAGCTACATTGGTGCCTTTATATTTGATTTAATAGTAACAATAGTTGCTTATTCATATGCCCATGATTGTCGCAAGCAAAATTTAAACCAATTTCCTATGACTACTATAACTATTCCAAATTCTACCTCCATTACATCCCTACCCCCTGGTCATTTAAATCCACCTTATGGTTATCCACAGCAAAGCACTATTAATAATTACGGCCACCATGGTGATTGGAAAGTACCACCCTCTGTATAAATTTTACTATGTCAAACAACCGTAGTGGGATAACATATTTGAAAAATGTATTAATTTTTAATGAGCACTATTTAAAAATGTTATTTATTCACTATGTAAAATTTTAACAATAAAAATTTGCAATACTTTTAATATTTATTTTAGTAGCAGATNTTTAATGAGCACTATTTAAAAATGTTATTTATTCACTATGTAAAATTTTAACAATAAAAATTTGCAATACTTTTAATATTTATTTTAGTAGCAGATTATTTTATAATTTGATGAAACTTTATCAATTATCTGCAACATTTGTCTAAATAAATTTTAACAAAATACATTAATTAACAATACATGTAAGAAATGTTTAGAATTTTATTAAAAATATATTTGTGCACATTTAAACGAACATAAGCAATACTTTACTTTGCAACAATTTTAAATAAAATAAATATATTTCTCAAATAAAGGACATAATTACCTAACTCTGGATTTAGCCCAGCATATACTGGAATCTGCAAACTTGGCATATACCATTTTATTCTACACTATTTTATAAGTTAATTAGTCTAGTCAAATATGGAGAATGACCAGACATTCCTCCGTGCGGACAATGGTTTGTCCGTATATTCTACATGTTATTCCCTATTCATTCGCTTTTTAACGCTTTTATGAAGCATTAATCATTTTAACATTGTTAGTCAGCATGAGTTTAGTTGTATTACTAAATATTTTTCCCAGTAAAACATTCCTAAATGCATATTCTAAGCAACGAATAGGGAATAACATGTAGAATATGCGGACAAACTATTGTCCGCACGGAGGAATGTCTGGCCATTCGCCATATTTGACTAGACTAATTAACTTATAAAATAGTGTAGAATAAAATGGTATATGCCAAGTTTGCAGATTCCAGTATATGCTGGGCTAAATCCAGAGTAAGCGTTTTATAAATAAATTTTATTAATAGCAATCCGTTAAAATTATAATTTTAAGACAATAAATAATAATACAAATAATAATTAATTAATTGATAATTAAAATATTATATTTAAATATTTCCAGTAATAATCGTAAATAAAATTAATATAATGAAAGCAAGATTTATAAATAAATATTCAATGATAAACACAATTATTGCAAGGGGAATGCCAATCATGTACGGTCCTGTAGCTATTTTCATAGAGTCTAAATTCATAGGTGGACCTTGGTAATCATCAACATTTTCATATGTTTGGTTAAGCCGAGCCTTTCCAGTGAGCGTATACTGCTGAATGCCTACGTTTAACCACATGTCGATAATACCCGCTTCAAACAGCCATTTAATGCTTTTTGGGATTTAATTATAATTAAGAATAAAAATCAATTTTAACACAATTTAAACTATCTAAATTACATTTAATAAAATAATTTCAATAATTGTCTTAATTATTGTCTCAAATGATCTATTTATCTAAATATTCATTAAATATAATAATTACATTTTAGTGAATGTAATGCCAATGATATGCCTTTTTAAACGTTTATGAATGAGCCAACCATGACACCGATACCCAGCCTTTTGTTGCATTATATGAACCCGTTTACCCTTAACATTAGTGGCAACACCCTGAACGTTAGTGGCATACGTAGACAACAACGATATATAGCCATTCGTTCCCATAAGTACGTGCGTACGCCTGTCCCGTACGTCAGATATGATCTTAAATATATCGTCAAAAGTCACTGCATCCGAGTTAATGGTGCCAGGTCGAGTTAAAATACTTTGTTCAATAGGACTCGCAGTTTCCTTAAGTTTGGTGTTGATCAATTACAAATTTTTAATGATAAAAATATTATAAATTCTTTTTACCAGTAGTTCTTTAAAATCGGTCCTTGGCAATTGTACGTAGACTTTCAAATAGGGTCTCATTTCCAATTCATCAAACGTGTCAATCATTTCGTATCGATTTAGTACAATAATCGACAAAATCATTTGATTGCAAACATTCTGTATGAGAAACTTAGCCAATAATAAAATGCTAACAATTAGTATATATCTCTGAGTCCAAGTGGTGATTGTTATGCCTAAATAAAAAGTTAGAATACGCCAGGTAATTCTTTATAAATATTAACATCAATTATTTGATTTTTGAATTTTTATAGATTTTGTGCCAATTAGTGTTATATAAACTTGTAATTAAAAGAGTAAAAGTTTAAAGTTAAAATTGTAATGATAGGATAAAATTAAAATTAAGTTTATTGTAATACAAA